TCAAATAACTTAGTCACTATATCATTCAATATATACTCAAGATATACTAGGAGCCACTCGTGTTTGTTGTTTGAACCTTTGAGTGTATTTTTTATTGAATTCTCTACATTTATGTAAATGATTTTGACATTTGTTCCTCGTAGGGTTCTTTAGTTTTTCATGCTAAACCCAACCATATAAAGAACATAAAATTTGGATCAACAGTTAGAAAGTTATAGGTAAAAAACGGGGCAAAGGTCGAAACTGGAAAACATAGGAAGTTCATAAATTCCTTTTTGACCAAAAAGTGCTACAGTACCCTGATAAGTGATACAATTGTAATAAAGAAGTGATACAGTGGTGATAAAGCAGTGATAAAATGGTGATAAAGCAGTGATACAATGGTGAGAAAGAAATGATGCAATAGTGATAAATGAGTGATACAAAATGATGATTGTATTTACCTTTGGTTTCTTGTTTTGTATTTAAATAATAAAATAAGTATAAATATCATATCGGTACGAGTTTCCGTCGGCTTAGGAATTTTGTTTCCATTAATCAAACTAAACATTTCGCTACAGATCGAACAGGAATAATTAAAATTAAAAAATAATTATTTAACCAAACCAAACCAAACCAAACCATCGATACACAGATAATTCGGATGAGATGCCCACCCCTAGTGGTGGGCTGCAAAAGTTACACATACGGTTGATTTTGTTTTGTTCGGGTTTCTAAATTGAGGGGTATATGCTAGCAGCCTCATTTTCTTCACCTTCTTCTCCTCATCCATAACGTGGTTTGGAAATTGAAATAACTCATTTTCAGATTATTATGCAAAAATCATTCTTATAAACTAAACAAATTTTCATTTGATTAACATTGTCATAATTTTAGTATTTAATCGAAATATTGCATTCATCTATCTATTTTATAACAATTAGATGACTAAATCATTTCCAATTTTTTAAAATTTTTTTACACCTATAACCTTTAGAGCGTGACCTAGAAAATGAATGGTTCATAAACCACATTGTACAAGAGAAGGTGAAAGAGGAAGGTACAGTTAGCATTCATCTTGAGTATATTTTAATTGTGTGTGGTGCAAGAGTATTAATAGATTTTGATTTAGCCATAACATCTTCTATTTTGAGTTGAAGTTTAGGAGATACTTGTGCCACTAGAACAAAACACGAATTAAAAAATAGATGAAATGTTAAGTATTGAGTTATACACCGATTAAATTAGGGTTAACTAGTAAACACGATACTAATACAAAACAATATTACCCAAACACGACAATATGGAACTGCCACTATCGATTATTTGTATCATCTCAATGCATCTTATATATCACCTCTCTATTATAAGTAGACCCCGTAGATATGAGATATAGATGTCACCTTGATTAGCTACACAATAAATAGAAATAAAAGCACTTCTACTTCTGCCCGAATTTGGCATTGTTCGCATTCAATGCCTAATTATTTTTGGTCAAATA